TCTAACCGTTCTGCCAAGAAATATTGCCTGCATTGCAAGGGGCCCTCCCTTCAAGTACTACTTCTCTTGCATGAGTTTATTTCTGTATGGAGTAGTTGTACTTTCATTGATCTCTTATCCAATTACAATTTACAAGCAAGACGCATATATAAGTGCAAATTAGTATCACTATACACTCATATGAGATGCACGCATCCACAAACACTAAATTTATTTTGTAAAAAATATATGTTTATGTACTACCTCTGTCCCAAAATAAGTGCAGCCGTGGACATTTATATTCAACGTTTGACCATCAGTCTGATTTAAAAATTTTATGATAAAATTAAAAAAAAATAGTCACACATAAAGTACTATTTATGTTTTATCATCTGATAACGATAAAAATACTAATCATATTTTTTTAAAAAAAACGAACGGTTAAACGTTGGACATGAACAGTGCAAAATTTATTTTGGGATGGACGAAGTAATATTTGTACACATTAGGATTTAAACCATGTTGGATGGATTATCACTCCACCGCACTAGTACTTTCCCAGCATGCATTAGATGTTTGATCTAATGACAGTCTCGACCACTACTGATTTGGCAACCACCGTCTGCCATCAAACATATATAGTTGTCTGCCAGTTGGTGGATTCTTGACCTCTAGTTGAAAGTATGATTAGCCCCCAAATTGTTGTGCAATTAATGTTAACGTTCAGTAAACTTAGCGCATTTTTTTACAAACTACCCTCCGTCCTATAATATAAAGAATTTTGAGTTTTTATTTGTACTATTTAACCACTTCATCTTATTAAAAAAAATTGGAATTATTATTTATTTTTTGTGTGACTTACTTTATTATCCAAAATATTTTAAGCAAAACTTTTCGTTTTTTGTATTTGCACAATTTTTTTAATAAGACAAGTGGTCAAACAGTAATAGTAAAATTTGAACTGTCTTGTTGAGAGCTAGACGAAATGCTAACATTGAGTTTAGAGGAGGGGGAGAGGGCAGCTGCCAAAAATGATTGATCTATTTTAGACTAATTATATCTACCTCCTCTAGTGCCTCATCTTGTCATTTGGTAGTGAGTCATTTCTCCTTGAACATTTCGCTTTTGTGTGGTGTTGGTTGGTAGGATTTTCATATTTGGGGCCTTTTTTCCTGTGTTGTAGCCCCAGGCTTGGCAGGGTTAGTCCACACCTCTTAATTCTGCTTAAAATAAGTAATAAATGGTAGAGCTCTTTCCTATGACTTCGAAAACACACAGAAAAAAAAAGAGATGGGTACGTGTTGATCGACCCTTACTAATTGTGGAGTTGATATATCCTTATGTCATATCCATTGCACTCTCAAATATATTTAATTTGTTGTGCAAAATCTCATGTCTGAGATCATAGATTGGCTTATGGTCGATGTACTTTAACTAGATATACCCAAAACGCTTGTGATGTGCACTTAACCAAAAGCAATTCCTATTTTATTTTGCTATATAACAAAAAATAGATACAAATTAAACTCAAGCATAATACAATGTGTGAACTATAATGTTTTTTAATCGGAAGATTAGGTGTGGCGCTAAGTTAGGGCTATTATAGGGTAAAGCTAAGAAAGGCGATCACGTAGGTTCATGAACGCTGGTGGACCCACCTATGTGTACAACTAGTGTATACTCTCTTGCTACCTCCGTCTCAAAATAAGTGTAGCCATAGATATCCGTGTTTAGCGTTTTGACCATCTGTTTTATTTAAAAAAAATTATAAAAAATATTAAAAAAATTAGTCACACATGAATTACTATTCATGTTTTATCATCTAATAACAATAAAAATACTAATCATAATCTTTTTTCAAATAAGACAAACGGTCAAACGTTGAACATGAACAGTGCTAAAACTGCACTTCTTTTGGGACGGAGGGAGTATGTTATAAATATTTGAAGGTTAGAATAAAATTTTGTGAAACTTTTGAAATCCTGACAGCCAACAATTATTCAGATGCGTACTTTCAAAAAAAATGGTATACCTAGATTTGCTCAAAAGTATTGTCATGATATCATAAACTCATTTAATTTTCTAAACTTATTCTAATATAAAATTGATGGATGGAATTGACATAATTAATGCTAAACATCAAATTAATATTTAAGATTGGACGGAGTATATATCACAATTGAATGATAAAAGGGGGCTACTAACTTAGGAGAATAAAGGCCGCACATAAAAAACTTAGGAGATATAAGGGAATTGAAGGAGAACAATGGAAGACTAAGCCAGAAGCACCCTTTTTTTTGTCTCTAAATGCTTACTTTTTTAAAAAAAAAAGAGGTGGAACAATGTTTATTTCACATTTTTTTTCTCTAGGCACTAGGTTTGTATCATTAATTTATTGTGTTACAGAGCCTACTGTTAATCGAATGTATCCCCTTGTTTCACTGTTAAATTAATACCATGGAATAATTGGTCCAAGTAATGTTGTTTAGGTTTTATAAAAGAAATAAAGATATATTTAGGGGCTGTTCATATTGATGCGATTTTCAACCATACCATTTTTTTTGGCAAAGTTGCTAAAAAAATATTTGTGTTTAGTTTGTTATCAAATTTGGTAAATACAAAAGAAATCCTGCCAAAATTTATGCATTGTCAAATTTTGGTAAGGTTTAGTTTAGCTACAATCTAAACATGCCCTTATTTTTGTCAAGCTAGACTGACGATATTAGAAAGAGCTAAGAGAAGAGGATTGAATAATCAAGGTATAGTGTTATTATTTAGTTCTCCTTTGAAACACATGATTAAAAAGTTGAAGGAATAAGAAAAGCACAAGATTTTGATTTGAATATAAATACAAAACACTGCAAAAAAAAACACAGGATTAATGATCGTTTGAATAGGCAATAGGAAAAAAAAGTAGAAATCGAATGAGATAAATAGACTAAAAGAAATATTTTAAGAGCTCTTGCTAACTTTCCACTAAAAAGTTTCTATATGCTTATTATCTATTTCATAGGAATTTTAAAGAAAATGATAGGATTCAATCTTTTTTAACAAAAGCCATTTCCAAGTTTTCTTTATAAAAGAGAGAGGGCCTTCACTTTTGTCTCGCTCAAGTGCCTCCAAATTGCAAGGACTGGCCTGACCCTAAGCGAGACGATATGGACCCTTTCTTGTTCAAGAGATGAAGATGATTTTTTTTTCTTGTCAAATTCCAATTTAAATTCATATAGTTGGACGTCAGGGAACTAAAGGTGAATAAAAGAGGGTCAGATTACCAAAGTGGAGCTCCATATCATGATGCACCTTAAATATAAGTGAAAAAAATTGCTAGGGGACAAATTAAGCGTGAAAGGTGGCTTCAGAATGGATAGGAGAATGAACATATTATATGTTGTACATGCTGTTTGTGCGTATGTAATTAATATGTGCTCGTACTCAATATTCAATAGTTCCATCCTTTTCTCAAAAGCGAAAAGCACTATTAGTTCTCTGCTTATATTAACTAGTAATTAATACTAGTACAAACTTTGGGTGACTTCACGTGAGCTATTGGGATGACATCGTTGTCAACTTCTTTCCATTATTAGCGTGGAAAAACGCCACTCAATTTAATCACAACTATGAAGTACAGGTTACCATAATGGTCTAATTTAGCGCTTGAACTGTTTCCTGGGATGGGAGAGTAGTACGTACCGTTGCCATTGTTCCGATGATACACATACCGTGCAACGCACAAAAATAAAATTCCAGGGAAAATTATTTCGTACAGAACTTGAATTTTTTTTCCTTCGATAATAGAACATCTTTTTCACTGCCGGCTCTATATTTTCGAGGGTCGTAACCGAACTCGGCCCTTAAAACTTAATACACTTGGTGTAACGTATATGTATAGTCTAAAGTGATAAAAAAAAACACCAGCACCTGAAATTATGAAGTAAATTAAACAACAGGAATAAAAATAAATCACATCATAATTTTCAGACTAAATAGATATAAATAAGAAGATAAGAAGAACACAAGACCTCACCCTAAACCTTAACCCACCATGAGGTAAGATGAGATCGTGTAGGAGTAGGGCAGACGATGACATCCTACTCGCTGGGTTAGTTGGTGATGGGTCCCCACCGGCATGGGCATTAGACGGTTGCACAACTGATCTTGCCCTTTAAGCCCCACCCTAAACATAAAAATAAGGATAATAGAAATCTAACCCATTGGCAGATCCAACGCCCAGTTATCTCCAGGTTGTTATCTCCAGGTTGTCACCCTGCGGGCTTATTGGTGGATACTCTAATTTTATGTAATATGAAGGATTGAAGATATAATCTGTGTAACAAATACAACTTCAATTTTTTTTTACTTTGATTAGCTTAAAATTGAATTAATCAGTGTTAAATATTTGAGAAAGGAGGTATTCACTACTAGAAAAAATCTTTTCTAGCAATCAAAAAATGTTTTTCCTGGCGATTAGGCTAACCGTCAGCATATAAAGGCCAGTGAAAATCTAAGGTTTTCACAAGCGGAACTTCAACCGCTAGCGATAATTGTTTTCACTGGAGGTTGTGCAATACCGGCCGCTAGAGATAATCGATTTTCGCTGGCAGCTGCGTTATACCGGCCGCCAGAGATAATCGATTTTGGGGGCAAAAAAGACGCCATGCACCTGCCCTCTAGCCGCCAGCAAAAATGTTGCTGCCCACATGCTGCTGCCTACATGCATTCCCAAATCCACATCCCCAAATCTCAAATCCCAAATCCACAACAAGCACAAATTCCACGAAAATGCTACATTCACATCACATCACAAATTCTACAAATTCCACATTACAGATCGAGTACAAAAATTCCACATCACAGATCGAGTACAAAAATTCTGGCAGCTGTCCGAGGGAGGGCGGCGGATCCGCTCTCGCCGGCGCTACCTCTACTCCCTGGCCCCCCCCCCCCCCCCCAATGCGCCGATGTCGCCGAGCGCATGCCACCGCCCCCTCCCATGCGCTGCTCCAAGGACCGGCGCCAAATCCGCACCTCGTCGCCCCCTCTGCCGCGTCGCTGCCACCAAGAACCACCGGCACGCCCTTCCTGCGCCGCGGCCGCACCACCTTCCCCGCGCCACCGCCCCCTTCCCCGCACATTGGTGGAGAGTGCAGGAAGACTAGCGGCGGTGGAGAGAGAAGGGACGAGGGAGAGAGGCGGCGAGAGGTGGGAGGCGGAAGGACCACGCGCCGCAGCCCGAGAGCCGCCGCGTGCTCGTCTTCCATCACAGTCGCTGCCGCGCGCTCGCCTTCCGTCGCCGTCGCCGCCACACACAGCTGCTTGAGCCGCCGCGCGCCACCGCCCGAGGACCAGAATCGCCACCGGCGCTGCCACCGGAGCAGCTGCCGCCTGTGGAGAGGGAGGAGGAGGAATGTGAGGATAAGGATGGGTAGGTGGAAAAGGAGTCGTGGGTGGTGATTTTTTAATGGGCTGTGATATTTTTAAGCGTGTGATTCTTTTTCAACGGTGGTGCTCTTTAGTACCCGCCAGCGAAAATCCGATTTTTACTAGCGGTAGGTTAAGAGGCCCGCCAGTAAAAATAGGGTTATTTTACAAGCGGACTTCTTAATCTACGACCAGCAAAAACGAATTTTTGTTGACGGTCCTAAATTCACTGCCAGCGAAAATGGATTTTCACTGGCGGTTCTAAACCCTCTATCCCTTATTTGAATTTTACAAGCAGATTTCTCATATGAACGCCAGAAAAAAAAATACCGTCATGAAAAATCGGTTTTCCAGTGGTGAGTACTAGCTTAAGCTATAATTAAGTTTACCTGGGCTCTAATTTCTTTCTCTCGGTCTGTCGCTGTCCAAGCCCAATTGATACAGCTCGGTTGGTGCAGATATTTGCAGCATTATTTGTCGTGGGCTGTACAATATGAGGAGGCAATTAAGGGGATTCAATCGAGATCCAAAGTGTCACTTTCGATTCTCCAAGTTCAAGCAACCATTTCAATTGGAACCCAGCCACATGGGCATCTTAATTGGCAACTCTATCCTACGTTAATTGGATCATAATCCCTTCTACCAAAATAAACCATCATCCTCCTGTATAATGTAACACATCCTGATACAATAAATATAAATATATATTATGTTTAGATTCGTTGTATTAAAATATATTATATTATATAAGAGATTGGTTTATTTTAGATGAGAGAGTACAATTCTCACCGTACGGTATTTAACGTACCGCTGGATAAAAAGTGAAGCTCAAGGACAGTCCCCTTTCTTTCGTTTAATCATCACGCTTCGTGTTTAGCCTAATTATTTTATGCTGGTCCAATATATATATATATATATATATATATACACACACACACCCGGTATTCTATACCCCTCCCTCCCTCCTTCTCTCGCTTCCCCCTCCCGATCCTCTTTTTTTTCTCCCTGAAACATTCTTTTTTCTCTTTTCTAGGAAAATAAAAATAAATTGCTAAATTCAAGACTCAAACCCATGACCTCAAAGTTCAAAGCACATTCTTTTAACCAATTCATCTAATGATGATATTTGTTTTAATAATTTTGTGAGAAAGTAATATGATTATCAATTCTAATATCTTTCTCTACCACCGTAAAACAAAAACAAAATATGTTACTACGAAACTCACAACATCTTACTATGCTCCAGTAGTAACATTATCGTAAAAGTGTAGTAAAACGTCACGTTACTATAGAACACATAGGACGTTATTGCACTTCTAGCAGTAACGTCGTGGTAAAATTATAGTAGATCAGGAATTGAAATAAAAATATATTGGTTAAAGCCTCACATGCTAACCATATACTTGTTACTGCACAAAAGTAGAAGTGTTATTACATAATAGGTGCATGTTACCACTTCCAAGTTGTTATGTTACTGCATGATAATTGTAGTTTTACTCTATCATTTTTACGAAATGAAGATCGAATAAGTGGGCTATAGGTAAAGTCTGTAGGTGGCTTTGAGTAAGGTCTGATTGATGTAGAAGTGTTTTGAACAAATTTATATATTTGGTAAAACTAAGTTACTGCATGTATATGCCCTTGTTATGCATGTATATGCCCTTGTTAATGCAAATTACATATTCTGTTACTGCATGTAGAGGGTTAAAGTTTAAAATGCTAATATTTGAAAAGCAATATCTCACAAGATAAGTATTATTTTTTAAAACCGTTTTCACAATGATGCTATAGTGTTACTGCATGTGGAGGGTAGAACTTCAAAATGCATCTACATACTCCCCTCCTCAAGAAACCGTTATTCCTCCCTCTTCTTAAGAAAACCGGTCTTCTCCCTCCAATATAGTGTTATTGCATGAATGTATTTCACGTTACTGCACTTTTGACAAAAATATTGTGGTGAATTGCAGTAAATCAGGAATTGAAACAAAAAATATATGGGTTCAAAGTCTCACATGCTAACCATATACTTGCTACTGCACGAAAGTAGAAGTGTTACTACACGACTTACACACGTTACCACATGACAGTTACACATTACCACATGTTTATGTAGTAACACTATCCAAAAACTGCAGTAAAACACTTTGTTACTGTAGAACATATAGAATGTTACTGCGCGTTAAACCGAGCCAATTCTCCTCTCTCCATATTACTGCACTTCTTTTCTTACTATACACATTCTTGCAGTAACGTTATAAAAAAATTGCAGTAACATGTTATTGTGAAACTTATAATCGTTACTACATCATGTAGTAATGGTATGATGTGATTGCAGTAACACATAGTAGACAATAGTAATACATATGATATATGATATAGTATTACTGCTTGTAGAGAGTTAAATTTAAGAAAAAACAATCTTTAAAGGGTAATATCTCTCACATCATATACTACTTTTAAAAACCGTTTGCACCATGATGTTAGAAAAAAAAGTGCTTATCAAAAGTAAATCCGACATGACTATATTATGGCTACATTTTAATATTGTTACTACCAGTAATACATGGTGTTACTGCACGATGAACATCACGTTACTACGTTGTTTGGAGACGAGAGCTGAGAAGAGTGGAGGTGGTGGGGAAAGTCACATGCGAGTTTGACCAACTTGGGGGACCTTTGACCGAGGTGGGAGAGGGGGTTTGCCCTCTTGGAGGGAGAGGAGGTGGGTTGGAGGGAGGGGGGTATAAAATAGTTTATATATATATATATATATATATATATATATATATATATATATATAGGGGTTTGCCCTCTTGGAGGGAGGGGAGGTGGGTTGGAGGGAGGGGGGTATAAAATAGTTTATATATATATATATATATAACTTTGTTTTGGTATTCATCGACTGAATTTTTTATGGAAAAACCTAGTCAATTTTACTCATAGAACATAGTGGTATAACTTGGTGTTATGGTCTTCTCAATATTTCTTTTAGAAAATGGAATATAACATCCCGACCTTTGCTGTAGAAAAGCTACAACCAATTAATGGCAGCATACCACGATTAGAGTTAAAAGTGACGAGCCTTATCTAAGCTGAGTTTAATTGTTCACTTTCTTAACTCATCTTCCACGTTTTTCATGTGCACGTTTTTTAAACGGTTAAACAGTATATATTTTTAAAATTTAATTTTCTATACAAAAGTTATTTTATATTAATCTTTTTTAAAACAATAGCTAAATTTAATTAATTATGTACTAACTCTGTCTTACGTGTGCTAAAGGTTAGCTCCCAATATCAACCAAAGAATTCAGCCCTAATGTGCAAGGGAGGCGATGTAGCGGCAACTCGATGATGGGACATGAGGACGACTACGGGCCCGTTTAGTCCCAAAATTTTTTTCCAAAAACATCACATCGAATCTTTGGACACATACATGAAGCATTAAATATAGATAAAAAGAAAAACTAATTGCACAATTATGGGGGAAATCGCGAGACGAATTTTTTAAGCCTAATTAGTCCGTGATTAGCCATAAGTGCTACAGTAACCCACATGTGCTAATGACGGCTTAATTAGTCTCAAAAGATTCGTCTCGCGGTTTCCAGGCGAGTTCTGAAATTAGTTTTTTCATTCGTGTCCGAAAACCCCTTCTGACATCCAATCAAATGTTCGATATGACACCCAAAAATTTCATTTTCCCCAACTAAACACACCCTGCAGCACAACTGGTGCCGCACAGGGTGGACGAGGGCGGCAGCTTAACGGGACGATGTGAGCTAACAAACGCTAAATAAGATGACCGATGACGGATTCGGTGGTAGGAGCTGCCAAGGAAGAGGGAAGCATGTGGTCCAAAAATTTTCATTCTGTTACATCGAATGTTTGGACACATGTATGGAGTATTAAATATAGGAAATAAATCAATTACATAGATTACGTGTAAATTACGAGACAAAATCTTTTAAGTCTAATTGCGCTATGATTTGATAATATGATGCTACAGTAAACATTTACTAATGACAGATTAATTAGGCTTAAAAAATTCATCTCACAATTTCCTTGTGGAATCTGTATTTATTTTGTTATTAGACTACGTTTAATACTTCAAATGTGTGTCCGTATATCCGATGTGACAACCAAACCCAAAAATTAAAAGAATGGCAAATTAAAGAGTTGCTAGGGTAAAAACTGGACATATATGCTACATAGTACCACCCCCCAATGAAGTGGTGGGAGTAGGGGTGGGCACTCGGTCAGACCAAAAATTTTGGTCTCGGTCTTCGGTCTTTTCGGTCTTTGAAAACTGAAGACCGAAATTTAACACAAAAATGTCAGAACTGACAAATTCGACCTCGGTCTTTTCGGTCTCAGTCCTGACCGAAATTCAACAAAATTTTCATATATGCAAAGAAATAATGGAAATTTTCATCACAAAAATAACAAAAAAAAATTCATAAGCACTTATGAGTAAAGACTCTAATTAGGTTGCATGCCTACAAGAAGTAGGGATGTGAAAATTAGAGTTTAATCCTATTAATCATGGTGGATTGTAGGTTGCATTTAGACATTTTTTTTGATAATTCGGTCTTTTCGGTCTAATTCAGTTAACCGAGAAGACTAACCGAATTGACCGAACAAAATTCAGTCTTTCACTGTCTAGGACCGAATTTCTTGGTCTCGGTCTTTTCGGTCTCAGTCTCGGTCTTTTCGGTCTCAGTCTCGGTCTTTTTCTGCCCATCCTGGGAGGTGGAGCTTGTGAAACAAGATGTAGAGTATATTAAGGCCTAGTTTGATACAGTTGAAAACAGTATATTTATAGACAATTTGATTATTGCATATAGTTATTTGAAGATATAAATGAATGAATTAACTAGTGCAATGCTTAAATGTTACTTTAGAAAAGTATATTCTAGGAAAACTTTTTAGTATTGTTTTTACCAAACGTACCGCTTCGAGCTTGGCATGTAAATGAAAAATCAGAAAAGTGTTAATGTTTGCACGGCACATGTTAAAATCCTCCTAGTTCTTGAAGAAAAGAAGATAAGAAACTTGTTATATATAGAATTATTAATTTTTATTTGACCCCATATAACATAACATGAGTCAACGAAAAGAGGGGAGGACATGTAAAGAAAGGGAAATAAACAGTGGAAGAGAAAAGGGTACTATACACCGGTAAACTGGAGCACCCAAACAATGGTAGTGACCCTGACCCAAACTATGGTAGTGTCGGCGCTCCCTATCTTGCCATTTTTGCCAGCAAAATGGCGTACACCATCCAGAACACCGCAAGTACTCCCTCCATTTTTTTTAATGTATGACGCCGTTGACTTTTCAACCAACGTTTGACCATTCGTTTTATTCAAAATTTTCGTGCAAATATGAAAGAATTTATATCATGCTTAAAGAACATTTGATGATGAATCGAGTCACAATAAAATAAATGATAATTGTATAAATTTTTTGAATAAGACGAATGGACAAACGTTAGATAAAAAGTGAACGGTGTCATACATTAAAATATGGAGGTAGTACTAAATTACAAATCAACAGAAGGAGGCCTCCCAACCAAACTTATTTCCTAGAGAAAATCAAAAAATTAAAAAAAATATCATCGATAAACGTGAGTTTCATAAATAACATTAAACAAACAATCTATCTATTATATTATTAAAATAGCTTTGAAATGATGCATCATGTTCGCTGTGGGGGCTAGAAATTCCCACATTAATCGGAGAAAAATAAAAAAAAGAAAAGAAGAGTCCAAGTAGAAATACAATTTAAAAATATCTGAAATTCGGAATTAAAAA